TGTATTAGTAGAAGACGGAGCTCGACCTGAGTTTAATTCTGTGAGCCGCAGAGAGATGATGATGAAAATAATGAATACAAAAGAATAAACCGTGTACTACTCGAAAGAGTGTTTTGCTTAAAATTCAAAAAACCTACAGAGATATGGCGCTTTTATGTATATATCTAGAAAAACAACTACGAATATTGAACCTTCCGCGGGTTTTCTAATATTCTTTATTGAAGGATTCCATTTAATATTCTCGGTTTTTGTAAATCGACCAAACGACGAAAATGTCCCGGGAACGGTGGTTAAATAATGCGTTGTAACGTTTCAGCTGTACATTTAAGATTCGTTCAAAAAGAATAACTCGCTCATGAAAAATACGAGCTTTTGAAACATCCCGCTGTCCCGATATAGTTTAATAGTGTCTGCTGGCTGTTGTGACCGTATCGTGTCTTCGTGCGACCGTAGGAGTGGTTGGACCGACAGAAGTGTGTAATTAAAATATGTTTGTAATTAGGCAGCCGGCACTACGCGCTCGTCGTTGATCGAACCGCTTTCGAGTCGAAAGGTGTACAAGTATCATTGTGGATATCAGTAATTCGCTGTGGTATGCGACTGCGGGCGATTATAGTTTGACAAAAGACCCGAAAAACGACAACCTTGTGAACCGATTTCAATGCGACATCGTCAAGAATAATAATACACACCGAAGTTTTGAAACGACACACGACTAAATAAATAATATTGTATTGTTATTTTGACAGTGTAAGCAAATAGCAATGTATTATTATACAACCGATGGTGTTATACTATTATGTAATTATAATACCCTAATATGTTTAACATTTTCGAGTATGTAAATTTTTATCGGCTTTCAATCAAGAAATAATAGGTAGGCCCTATTTGAAGTACGACTGTGCGAGTATCATTAATCATTCTTGAAATCTTAATTTATATAAGTAGAATAAAATATATCGAATAAAGTGTGTACAATACAACGTTAGTCCCTCTGGCCTCTATATTATTCTATGCATAGATGCATTGTAACATGGTTTATTGATAGGTAGGACGTACCTGATATTGAAAAGTGATGAGGGCTTTGTGCATATTGTGTAATAATTTAATGGTACTACTTTTCACAGATTTTCGCTTGTAATTAAGTATTATTTGATATTCGATATTATTTAAATTATTAGTAGTTTAATTTAATTTTTATAATTATTATTATCATAATAATTTCCGTTGTGTAATATTAAATCGTGATTTCTTAATATTTATTTAATTTGTTTGATATTTTGTTCAATTTTCAAATGTAACATAAAATACCCAGTGTGCATTTTGAAAAGCCACGATGGTAAAAACGTGGAAATGTCGCATTAAAATTTGCTTGTAATTGTATGGCTTTTTTGGGTAAAATTATAAATTCTTTGTCATGTTGCGACCGTCTGAAAATAAATTAAGCCATGAAATAAGTTACACATCTTTACAAAAAATATGTTGTTCATAACATAATGCTACCTACTCAATGTACAACTGAATAAAAACTGTTTTTTAGTAGTATTGGAAAATGCTCAAAGTAACGACAAATTTCTTCATGTTTGGTCTATTTGGAATTCAATATGAGATATAAATATGAAACTCTTTAATAAACAAAAGTCAGCCCATTTTATGAATTTGATATTGATGACAAATATTTGCTATAACCAAACTCTCAGAGCCCAGTAACTAAAAAAAAAGAGGAAGTCCCACTGCTGTATACATATAGTACTATAGTAGTAAATACCATTACAACTAGACATTTGTATGTAATTTTTTTTTGCATAACATGTATTTTGTAGATTTCTAAATTTTTTAAGCACATCATAATTTTTAAATGTTATTAATAATTATAATAACATTTGCCAAAATAAAAAATTTCGTTGTTCTAAGTTTCTATAAATAAAAATTTGTAGGACTCTTGTCTTTTATTTTTCAAACTTTTTTTATCGAGCAGTAAAATAACTTATATGAGTTTATTTCTTTTTAAATTTGCAAGCATTAGGTATAAAAATTAGAACTTTAAAAATTGGAAAAAAAATTATAATAGACAAAAAAGAATACACATTACAGTTAGACTAATAACTTTATCACTCCTCTTAGAACTGCTGATTTCTAATTATTTATATAACGATGGAAATGTAAGTTTTGTTTATAAACGTGTCTTGTGAGAAGCATGCATACGTATAGAAGCTTGTATTAACTAAGGATATAATTAACTTAATTATTGATAAGAACATAATGGATGTACTTAGTAGGTTTTATAATCTTACAAATCTCTCGAGGGACTCCTAGAACGTAACAGTATTATGAATTTACTGTATAATATTTTATTATATTACGTAACAATATAAAATTATTAAGTTGTATTATCATCACGCGAGTGGTTTATAGTAGTCATTCAATTAATCATAATATTATGAGGTTAATATGAAGTTTATTGCTATAGAAAATTATACTTTATTAAATTCTTTTAAACTAGGTACCGTTGGAATTAAGTCGATACTATGACCAAAATTATAATTATGTTTGGCAACCATTGAGTAGGTTATTGTGGTGACTTACAGCGTTTGTTATAATTATTATGTTGACATAAATCATTAATATGTGAAGACCGGAAGTCATGCTTGCGCATAATTGAAAATACTAAAATATTATTTATGGTATATATATTAAAGAAACTATATTATTTATGGTTTCTGAGGGAGCCTCAAACGAGATTTTCGAATCCCTGATCAGTGGCGTGAATACAAAATGGTGGATGCCTATAGCTCAACCCAAATTAAAAGGGTTAACACGAACATTGCATAACGAAAAATTTTGATTGATGGTCATAGACGATCAATAATTATGAAAAATATTTTAATTTTCATTATTAGGGACTAAGTTCACATTATGAAAATTGATATTTTTTCTAACCAAAGTTGGTTCACCAAATTTTACTATAGTAATATTATATTATATAAAATGTTTATTTTCAAGATAATTTTTTGAATGGAATTAGCAACTTTTATTTTATTGGTATATTCTTCGTAAATAAAATACATGAAAACATTTCTCTGTTTTTCCTCATTGATACTGGTATTTGTACACCTAATAATTATAGAAACTAATATTATATTAAATACATTTTTATTCCCATTACGATTTCAAATTTATCAAAAGAATTTGTAATTAATGTCTTATTGATTAAATCATAATACAAATACACAATTTCACCAAGCTGACAACTAAATATTATGACAGCTACCTTCATACTTTTGAACGTCTAGAAAAATAAAAAGTTACCTATCCAGATCCAGATGTAATAATGTAATGTCTGGACAGTAGTTAAATCTAAGTATCGGGCGGCGAAAAATGCGGCCATAAACTCGTTACTATACGTATTAAAAATAATTTCGACCTTACTACATACCCATTCGTTCTTTTGCAGTGTGAATTTTTCTTCCACGGTACAACAAAATTGTATCTACTACAATCTTTACCGAAATTGTGCACGGTAATCAAAAAAACTTGTAACACGCGATTTACCTAACAGCTCACACGAAACACACTCATATGACTTATCGAATCACAAGTATTACAACACGTATGTAGTATTTAATTTTGATATTCAGTGTAATTGTGATAACCGATAACGTCAATAACGAAATATAGTAAACATTAAAACCTATCGAAGCGACTACATATGTTACGATTTGTCGCATGACAAACACCGTTTTACGATAGATTTCATGCACTCTCAGACTTGAGCAATTGTACAACAATACCGTACGCGTACAAGTTACGATAATCGTTTGTAAAATCGTATCAAACCAAGTTGTACATAGTCTGTCTTGGGAATTTAAGGACTAATACCGGCTCATCGGTAAAGTTTCCGCTATTTCTCGATATTCCGATCCACCCAGCGTGATATGATCAAACGTATCATTTACTCGGGACCCCTTAAAGTCTCGTGAATAATAAACGCAGTGTGGCAATCCTAACGTAGTAAACCGGAAATACAGTTGTAGGTACCAATTATATTATTTCAGCTTATAATTGTACTATTAATTATTATAACGATTGGTTTATGGTGTGCATGCAATAGCTTCAAACTATAATAATAGGTAAATATAATTCTAGCATTGAACTCGGTACCAACCAGTTTGGCGCACACAAAAGTTAAATTAAACGATACAAATTAAAGACAGTGCATATAAAGTATTCTCAATAACAGGCCAATGAAGCAAATGGGCCGAGGTAGCACATTGTAAAATTATATTTAAGCACTTAAGCATCGCGGTAGAAGGGCAGTGTGTCTTCTAGCGAGGCGCACATATGTTTGATTGTGTCTCGTATCTTCGTGTTAGTTTTAAAATAATAAAAGTAATCATTTAAATACCGTGAATTATTCATCTCAATTTTGTGTACCTTTCGAAAGATCGGTTAATCGAGTACGCGACAAAAGGTTAAAACATAAAAAGGTTTTACCTCAGATAGGCGCATAATATTAACGATCAGCGGAACTTCACCTAACATTAGAATAAAGGGCAATATTATTAATAACGTCACTCCACAATCATATAGGTAAGGTCATCGCTAGGATTCGTATACAAATACTTGTCGAGTACTTCGAATTTTTCAGATGATATTTACGGTTCTACACTGATTGTCGGGCCATCGTAAGACTATAATGCCCGTCGTGCACTTTGTCACAGCCACGTCACTGTGAGGACTTAGTCATTCCGAGGCTTAAAGCATACGGCTACTCGGTGTTTAAAAGAGTAATCTAATTCTATTTTGTTATAAATTTACAAGTGTTCAGTTTATTATCCTCGTCTGCGTCTTTCTCGCACATTCCCTATATATTATTATGTCCACAACTCGTTGCGAACGTGACACGCCGTTTAAATATTTATATCATAATAATAAATTGCGGACGAGCGCAGCGTTCACTAATCCAGGGCGAACGTGACATTCGGTACTGTCGAACTCACTTATCGGTCCTCTGGCCGAGTGCGGGTCGTCCGCGATGTCTGCGACGGCGACGGGCACGGTCCGGACGACTGGCACGGTCCGGACGACTGGCACGGTCCGGACGACGGGCACGGTCCGGACCACATACCTGGGCTTCTTGGGTTTACCGGATTTGCTGACAACCGCGTTGAAACCATTGACCGGGTCAGCCGTGTAGTCGACTGTTCGCACGGTACCGTCGGGCTCCACGAGGCTGTACTGGCCGCGGACCACGTCGCCAGTGCGCTCTTCCGATTGGTGTTTGATGTCGCCGGTGGCGGGGTCGTGCACGCCGTACTTGTAAGCGTAGCTCGCAGGGACCTGAAAAATATTATGTTTTACAGGATGGCCCGGACACGACTATATTATCGTTTTGGGAACGGGAACGTGAAATTATTTTCGATGGGTATAGGTACACAAAAGCGTCGACGGCGTGTTGTTTTGCCTGCAAGTTTGGCAATCGTGTCTCGACGGGCGTCGGTGCTTTGGGCGAACGAGTAGTTTTTCGCATTTATCGGTTAAGTGTTTAAGACAAGAGGACGAATAAGCATACGTGGTTGTGACAGAGCTTAGTTCTCAACACGAAGTTTTGCCGGGTTCGTCGGAAAATTTAATATCACAAAAGTTATACCAAACCCACTTAAGTAAGACACACTTCTGTGTCGGCACTTATTTTTTTGTGCATTTCACCCGGAAAATTGATTCATCTATTTGCACAATACGTCGTCAAACACACCATATTTGATTTTTATCCCTCGAGGTATAATCTTCATATCATGAAAACAAATAAGCAATATTTCGAAAAAAAAGACTATATGTACCACTTGTTCTTTTTGATAACATATAAGCCACTTTTTATACAAGAAAAGGTATTTGCGAAGGAAGTAATCAGGAATTGAAGAGAAACTGCGCTTCAGTATTCGAGTCTCTGGGGAAATTTTAGAGACAATAGGCATACCTACAATTTATAAATTAAATATTTTGTATAAGAATGATTTTTTTAAAACTACAAAAAGCAAAGAATATCTAAGTGAAACAAAAACCTTATCAAATGATGTACCTATATAAAAATATATTACACAGTCATTCTACAGTTACTTTGCAACTTTTTAAAGTTTAGTCTCTTTAATGTCAAGAATGTAATGGCAGTATTTTGCTCCCAAAACAAACATTTTTATTTGAAAACACTAGACAATACACTGCTGGTTCATAAAATACGATTTTAGTTAATATTTCAAAATTTATTGTTAAAAACTGTAGTACAATTAAAGATTATAAGTGACTATTTTGACTCGACATGATATTGTTTGACAGTATAAACTGAACTTCTGAACTCAATAACTCAGTACGTATTACCATTATTATTCTGTATATTTGTGACGTATGTGTATAGAAATTATTAACAGTAGGTATCAAGTCAGACATACGTAATACAATTTACCATATTATTACCATGTTTTTGAGTGAGCTGTGAAGTATCTAATCAGACGTATGCAAAATGATAAGCTACGAGACAATTTCAAATCATTAAAGTCGAATACAAAATAGTATATACTATTTGGCGTTTTCTCTGTGTTTATTATTTTCTGAAATCTTAATTAATTAATTTTAAAAGCAATATTTTATTTTCGCGTGGAAAAATATGTAAAACTTACTATTTCCATCAGTATTTCATCGGTAAGGTAATAATATATAATTAGTTGTTCTTACGTAATAATCAATATCCGCTCGACCTGGATATCTTGACCTCGACAATGATATGCTAACCATTAATAATAGGCAAGACAGCACCTGAAATTAGTTGTATTAGTTATTGCTTTAGTTGTCATACATAGAAGTATTAAAGTATGGTTGTGTTCGGAAATAGTCATTTTTTTCAAATGTTGAAGCGCATGCAATTATAATAATAATTTATGAGGCATACCTATATTGTCTTAATTTTGAAGCTTTAAAAAAAAAACAATTTCTGATATCTTAGTATGTAATATAATGACAGTATCATTCGTATATCTACGGAAGACATGAAATTTGCAATCGGGGGCACAATTATGGAGGTTGGGATAAGCTTTGTTCGTACGTATAATGTCGTTGCTTATCCAAATTCCAAGTTTAAATATAAATGTATGCACTTTAAGAAAAATATTGTTATCACTTCTCGAAAACTTCTAAAATGTTCAATTAGCTTCTATTCTCAATAAATTAGCTTCTAGATTTACAAACATAGTAATATATATTAAATTACTTATAAATATTTATTTTAAATAATGCCTATGCATATTAAGTAAATTAAATTAAATTATACGTATAAGTTACATAAACGTTTTTATATTCAGGCTTTAAGATAGGCAATTTAAATTACTCGCAGGTATATACCGATATTATATCATCACAAAAAACACGTCTGTGGAATAAAAACACAAAATATGCATTCGGGCGTACAAATTGAACAATATGAATGTGTTGTATGATTAAAATAAATAAACAAACATTGTATATATTGTACTTTGATTTATTGAATTGTATAAGTTTTATAATAACCAGTTAATTATTTTAAATATTAGTTAGTAAATAAGTACAAATAATACAAGTAATAACGATCACGAAGTCTTGACATCCTCAATCCTCATTATCAAACGATAGATTGTAGCTTATTGTAAATGAACAATACATAAATACAAATATCAACTATATTGTAATGATAGTTCGTTTCTTTAATACAATTTAGATACTATAAATAAATATTAAAATACATTTTTTATATTGTATTATTAATTTATCAAATGGATAATTTACATTTATTAAGTACATACAATACTTATATAAGGCATAAAGAAAAGAAAATCGCTCTATTTATAAGATTAAAAAAAAATAAAAATATGGATTGTAATTATGTAAGAATTTGTATATAGATATTAAAAAATATTGCAAAAATACACCGCAGTTTACCCACTAGAACCATAAAAGTAAAATTTTAATTTAATTCCTATTATTTATCCAACCTTTTATATACCATTAGACATACTTATTAGTAGTGGCATAAAGTGTCATAATTTTGTTTTATATTATCTAGATTCTAGGTATAGTATTGACAACTTTAATTTCAAAAGTAATAGCATCCATACAATATAATAATTTAACCAAAACTATTAAAATATTCTCTTGTAATGTGTGAGAAAAAAGTTTTCAGTTTTTTATATGGAGATTGTGAAAAAAAATGATTTTTTGAAAATACAAAATAAGTATTATTGTTTTAATCTGGAAATTACTTTTAGGTATAAATCTATAATATGTAAATATTAAAAATGGGATGCTAAGAACTCGCTTTAAATATCAATGTAGATTGATTCATCACTAATGGGAAAAATAACTTACAGTACACATTTGAGCTATTATATCATCTACTTTTCTGAGAATCGAGTTAAACTGAGACCTATCATATTATATTAATTACTATACAAAGATTAATTCACACTGTATTTTGTAATTTTTCAGTGCGCCTATTTTTTAAAAGTCTGTCAACGAACAACAATTTTTCAGGGTCTTGTGTTACATATTAATTTTTAAGGATTTTATGGGAGAAAATGTGTTTAGAAACCTACTTATCTCACAACAGAGGCACAAGGTCATAGAAAATGAATTTCGTGTTAGTAAGTAGGTCCTATTATTCTTGTTCTGGGTTAGGATAGAAGGTCATTTGACGGAAAGGGACAATGTAGAAGTGAAAGATAATTTTTGAACTAAATTAAATATTAATATAGACATTTTATGTTAATAAAATAATATAATAATATTAGATTTCACACTATTAGCAATATTATTATTATTATTATTTTGCGAAACTGTTGATATGGTTAAAAGTGTGTTAATCGACCGTGTAAATATGCCTATAATAGTCTGAATAATTGAAGGGGGATTTTTTTAATAGACATAATATTTAGACGTATTCAACATTGTAAATGATTAACACGTATTATAAGCCTTAAAAAATAGTTTGACATTAGATTGATAACAAGCGATTAAAACTATTATGCATTTTCTTACATTATTGGTAAATTTAAGAATTTTATTTTCAGTTTTTCATATTTATAAAATCTGTATAACTGCTAAATTTGTCCGCAAAAAAACATCTAAAATCGTGAATAACTATCAATTTATAATACCAAGTAGGGATTTCAAATGTATAAGTAACATAACTAAATGTTTATTTCAAAAAAAATATATAAATATATTCAATATCACAACATTATAATATCTGTAATGACCACCATTATTTAGACTTTCTGATAATAACTGAGCATTTCGCTAATGAACAATACCAAATTGTATTTAACTCTGAATAGTTAAGTAAATTTATATTTTTATTGTTGTACCCACATAGTTTTTTAGTTGAACTTATGACCTAATTTATTTTGTTCACTTTTGTAATCGTATAGTTTTAGTTTATTTTCTTTGTAGGTTTCTTAGAATATCTCAATATGTTTATTCACTGTTAATGACGTAAAAATGAAAATACTTTATTCAGAACTCGGAGAGTATACAAAGAAGTTGTCAACTTGGAGATAATTTAGAAGTTACATATCGTTTATGTTATTGTGTAAATGCAGCACAAAATAATGCACGGGTAGTTAAAAACGAAAACATGAATTTGAAACTTTTACAGTTGTATTATGTTACAATAATAATTCTTCATACGTAGAATTTGTGAAAAAAAACGATTTAATCTATACATATAATATCCTCTAATATTATTTCAATTTAACGAGTTTTCATACAGTAGATGTAACTATTGTGTTAGGTATTCTCTTAAAAAGTAATATTTTACAATTTTTAATTTGGCACAAGCGGAACAATAGTACTGCCGGATTAACGAAAATTGCACGTTATAAAAAAATACCAGACATTTGAACGAAAATCAGATAAAATAAAAATATATTTATTTTCAATACTTAAAATTGAAAATACAATAAAATTGGCGATAATCTCAATGATATTGTTTGATGTTTGTATTACATTGAATGATTAGAATTTATTACCTTGAGGTGTGTATGCAAAACGCATCTACAAACAGTAGCTAAATATTTAAAAATTCAAAATTAAGCTGGTCAATGACCAAAATTGTGGATTTACTAGAGAGGGTGGCAGAACACTGTCATTATCGTTCATCGAGTAGGGAGGGTAGTATAGTATAGAGCAGCGGTCCCTAAACTTTTTTTTCGGTGGTGCCCTTTATTGGACTAAATTTAGCCGTGGTGCCCTGCCTTAAATATCTCAAAAAATAAACACAAAAACACTTATTCTCATATTGATGATCAGTTTCAAATCGAGCTGTCCGAATCAGACTATACGATGTCTTTTTTTCTTACAATATTCAATTTAAAGTTAACAAAAATAGCGATAAATTATCAATCATTTTTAATGAGTCATCATGCCCTCGAAAAGTGCTCATGGTTCACAGTTTGGGAACCGCTAGTATAGAGTATTGGGTATAGGATATAGAGTATGGAGTACCTTCTCTACTGAATATTGAGTCGATTCGATTAATATTGTTTAACAATGTAAAGAATTATTAAAGTGCATTAAAAAAAATTATTATTGTTGAATTCTTAGGTAATTGCATATATTTGATGGTGCACCTAAATTATTAAGTTATCTTAAATTAATTAACCAATGTAACCTCCAGTAAAAGTTTTGGTTAATTACTTTTAGTAAAAAGTTTTTATCAGAAGCCCAAATAATTGTAACTACCTCAGTAATTTAAGTCAAATTATTTCTTAATTTAGTTCAATTATAAAGTGATGTTACTTTAAACATTTAAAATACCACCCAATAGGTAATCGTTAAAAAAAAAATGCGATTCATACCTAAAATGACCAATATAACTTATAGTATACCTAATGATCAAAACATGTACACATAATATATATAAAGATGAAAAATAACGTGAAATTCCGTTGATCTTTTTGCTTGGCATATAAAAGTAAGTAGTATTATAATACTATAACCGTGGTAAAAGTGTGCAAGTTATGGTACAGTGGTAAGTATAAATAATAAAATATTAATTATTAAGGAATCTATGATAATAAGCATTTGCATCTTGTAACTACCGTTTTACATTTTTACGTATAATATATATATTTATTATGTGGCTTGGCGAGGCGCGGTCGTACGCTCAATCTGCGACAACGCTCAGAGCGTATGCAACTACCGTCGTTGCTACCATTCGGATGGGTGATCACCCGGATTGTTAGCAACCCAATCTTGCCACACATACAAATACGCGTTTCAAATCAACCGTTTCCCCCAACAAATAGCTAATGGCCATAGCTGCCGGGCTTTAGATCAACACAAATAATATATGTATGTAGACACGACAACTGCAGAAGATTGAGTAAAAAATTTAAATAATTAAATAATTTAAGTTACTTACTTGCAGTACAGAGCTTATCATCGTTATGGATATTGTTTGCCGAATGGAATTAATGGTTTTTAATTTTCAACTATCAATAACACGCACAGATGTACAAAGACAGACGTTCCACGACTATGTTTCATTAAGTCTGACGAGCACTGACCGCAAGACGACACAAACGGTATTTTCACATATGTAAGTCATATTTATACATTTTGTTTACTTATATTATGATGTTACCGACAATTGTGTCAAAAACCTTATGGAAATCGAATGCTATGATAACATTACGATCCCATGGTGAACACTGAACAATTGGACAACGGTTGCAAGGTTGACCCATGGGAACTAGAATATCCCAAGTTTCCAGCACTTTACGTGATATGACGTAATAATATCCACAATTATTGTACTGTTTTGCATAATATGTTTGTATGTGCATGTGTTTATTTTTGTTTCCGACGCTATGTGGAAATCATTAACAGGTTAATTGGTGGTAATAACTTCATGAGTGAAATGTATTTAACAGTTTCAAAACATACCGACTTCTATAGTTTTTCATGTGTAAAACTATAAAATAAATAATTATATTATGTTTATATTGTAACCTTTAAGATTTCACAACGAGATGAATGGATATATTTTTTTCAGACATGTTCACGCCACGCGGAATTTTACTTATTATTAGTTTTGAGATGTGCCGTGTAATTTGTATTTATTTTTTTACAACTTTTATTTAGGCCATCTATACTTTGAACGTGTTGAAAATGAGCTTAATTGATGATACTAATAGATGTAACTAATAAATACAATACCAATTAGAGAAGTGGTGAATGAAAAAAACTCCCAGAGAAGATAATTCGTCGTGAAATAGTTATTCGTACATATTACTAATATATTTTATTATTATTGTTATTACCTATTTACTTCTAATGACTTTAAATTTCTTATTGTAACCTATAGTCAAATATAGAATCAGTTTAAAGTAGGCATTTAATTTTAATTTAGTTTGAAAATAAATAAATAAATACTTAGTCTAAGATATAGAATTACAGTGTAGACACATTACACATAGGTACCTAACAAGTAACAATGTAGATGAGTAGAAGTTACTTATATTGTATGATACATTATTTGCAACAGCATCAGGAGACTTTAGTAAAATATATGACGCTGTTAAGGTTATGTGTGCGCTATAAAAAGCAATAACTCACTGGAATGTACCAAAATAAAAAAAATACAATCATACAAAAATGTTTATTTAATACTATAAAAAAAATAATAACAAAAACACACCATCCAAATACATAAAATGAGTCTTTCTTTTTTTCTTTACATGTCTTTCATCACGGTGAGCTTATTTTTACCTTTAAGTACAGCGTTCGACTATTAGTTTAAAGTAATATACCATGTGATATTTAAATTGTTCCTTAATTTTTTTTTATGCTCTGAGTACTTGAGTAAAACTAACGGAATAAAAAACTGGTGGGTGGGGGGCAAAATATGTATTCACCAAAATAGAAATCATAGCCTTTTAACAAAAGTTTAAAACTCATTTATGGCTTAAAAACAAATCGTAGGTACCCTTATGTCATTCAATAATATTAAGTACCTACATAAGAGTTCATTAAAAAAAGGTTTTATAGTGTCATGTTTGAAAAAAATAGTATGATGATAATCTTGTAATCATAATTTATGAAATAGTATTATTGGGTGGCTTGGCGTGGCGCGTTGGCTGCTACCAGTTGCGGAATGCGACTGTGAGTAAGTAACGGCCACAGCTACTAGTTCTCGGATGGGTGACCACTCGAGTTCATAGTAGTTCAAAACCTTGTCACACATACACGTGTTTTCTACCTACCGTAACAACCGTAATAATCGTAAAAACAAACCAACCGTACCAACTTTACCCCTACCACAGTTCATAACCCCTACAACAGCTAATGGCCTTAGTCGCCGGGCTTAAGTTCAATGAAAAAAAATATATTATTGGATTCTTTTTGTATCCTCGAAAATCCGATAACGTTGACAAAAAGTCAACATATTATACAATAGAAGATATGTGAAATAGATGAATTTATATGCAATAATTTTATGAAGAAATATTTATTATAAAATATGTAGGTATGTTTAATGTATTGAATTTATGCTTTGTTTAGAAGATTTATAGATTTCATCAATCGGCATAATTGGGAAGGGAGGGGAAAATGTTTAAGTTCTCCCGTTAAATTGGAGGGGGTTCAATACCCCTCTTGCCGCCCCCAGAATTAGGTCATTGCTTCTAAATAATAAATACAGGTACTATAAAATATATAGTATCTATATAATTATTTATAAGTAGGTACACATATGACATATTAATACGTCATATAATTTCTAATATAGGTATGTATGTTGTTTGTATATTAAATATACAAACAACAAGTTATGTAATACATTTTATTACACAACTAAAACACTTAGTTATGTTCCTAAGTTTTATATTTTTAATTTTGTGTCTATTAAGTGCATTAAATAAGAATTTCTAAGATTAATAATGAATACATCTGTATAAAAAACATAGAAATTTAATATATTCTATTTTTTATTTTTATAGTGCAGTATACAAATATTATTAACCAGCAAACGAACCTCGCCTAAAGAATAATTCATATAGACCAATCTCATTTTAACCAATTAATCCTAATCCGTGAATTAAGTCAATCAACACTTCATACCTTTTGCATGAAGAAATAGATGAAACAGAGTAGCTCAAAACAAAGGAAAGCAAAGAATCAGTTCCATTCCGTCCTTCAGTCCAATAACAACTACAATCAAACTACACCCAAGAAACTAAAGACTCGAAGACCACACCAACCAGCCGCGGCCGGTCGAAGCTTATTACCCGCTGCTAGACCGAGATCACCTGTTACACCAGTTTCCACTGACCGGCGATGCCAAAACGAGTCGGCCACCTGTCGCACCTCACTGCCGGTATATTTCTCCCATTACAACAACTTGTATTAGGCACTGCATGACTTACGAAGCATTGTGAATTACTTATCCAGCACTAACGTCGGACTCTTCCTACATGGTCACCTCTTAGTTCTTCCTGAAGAAGTGTCATGGGTTGTCTACCGGACACCTCGCAACCAGATTTCAGATTTGTACCTAGGGGTAACGTCGTTCCCGATAATATTGTAATTTGTAATCAGATGATCGTACATGATTACCGATCGAAAAACCCCCTGCTGAAGTTTCGTCTGATGAACCAGCCACGATATTTATGTTTATTGTATTATATTATTTGCGTTTGTTAGAGAAATAATTAATGCAATCTTACATGATAGTGAAAAGCAACATTTTTAATTTTAGAAGTGAGTCACACATGGTCGTGTGTACTATTTCAATATTTATTTGGAGCATTGCGGCGTTTTATTTATGAATATATCTATATGTAATGCCTTTGAAAAATATTACAAATTTGAGAAAACCCAAAGGGTTCAAGCTCTTAAAATATAATACGAATTCTCAAAGGAAAAAATGAAATCGAACTTACAGACGATATTTCACCAAAGTTGGTGGCTGACGTGCAATTTGCACCAGTAACATCGGTCGATGCTTTGGAATCTACGAGTAAAACATCTCAACAAACTGGCGTACTAATATGATTCCTAGCTGTACAAAAAAACATTGTTATTCACTATTTTCAAAAAAAAAAAAAAATTATTATTATAAAATTCATTTAATCTATTTCTTATATATTAGGCATATACAATTTATCAACTTTATTTTTGTTTAAATTTTTGTTCAGACGTGTATTAGTCATAATTTATATGTACCTTGTAACATGACAGGATAATATTATATTGTTACACATACTCTAAAATTGAAATTAATTGTTCTATTGTGCCTACTACAAAAATGAAATACTCGGTAGGTATACCAGTAATATATTATGTATAGTTAAAAATAATTAATTTGTTTTAATGTTGCTTACAGTTAACATTGTTGCATTCAATCATAATATAATTATGCGATACAAATAAATAATATGTTTATGTTTAAATGGTATGTTTGTATGTTCTACTACGATTTAATGTCTTAGATATTTTTAGTCACAGGCATATAGATTTGTAAGATAATTATAAAAATACGATTTGAAGATATAAAATATTAAGAAAACAACATTGGTAAAAATTATATACATACTGCAGGTACCTATATCACAAGATCCATTATTTCAATGAACGCAATAAATCTAGAACACGTAACGAATTAGTCAAACTGTCCTATACTTACTTATTATAGGTACTTAATTCAAAATTATTAAGCCATAACATAAATAACAATTTTGTGTCAGTTATAACTCATCGACATAATTCACTCGTTTCTTATTAATTGTAAGGGCTCGTATTATATATGCTTTTATGCTATACATATTGTCATATCACTGTATAGAATGACGTTTGATGTTTCTAAGAGGAACAATTCAAAGACAAGAAACACTTAACTAGGTTAGGTGCTTATGTAAAAATGCACGGTGTCGTCTTACCATGCCATATTTTAATGTCAACTGCAACCGATGACATAATATGACAATTTGCTATCAATAATTGAACGCCAGTTTATAATGATGATTGTCTATGAAAACCTACAAGTAAACCTATACTTGGTAAATGTTTTTAATAGTAACATTTTATTTTATTTTTACTAGAAATATACAATCCATGCACGAGGGCACGAGAAGAACGCGTTATACGCAATAAATACATGAAAAAGTAATTTTAATATAACTATGTCTTTTGAACAGTACTTTAGGTGTTTATGAGGATTATTGAACCAAACGTATCTCCCTTGAGTCATAGTGGTTTAATTAAAAACCACTGAATCGTATTATTATTTGTTATTTTTTGAGAGATTCTCCTTTTTTGGTATTTTATTGAAATAGATCTGTCAAACAAACATGTTGTTTACGCTGTACATTTTGTTGCTCTAGGTTCATTTGTAACAAGTAAACTGTTAACATTTATCTTAATATAGTATTATTTGTGCTAAACATTTAAAAAACATAAGACCACAATTATTGTAGTATTATACTGTAACAATTCAACAATTCTGCAACATTACAAATACATCTATATTGAACTCACATGATGCCGATCAGTTGGTAAGTATGTAGTTTAGAAAATCATGAAAATGTATTATTACATAAATATATATTGTAATATTATTTTAATACTATTTTTACATTTCTTTAACAACCGT